TGAAGCTGCCTGGAGTGCGTTGCCGTAGTGTCCACCCTGCGCGTTGACATCTACGCCTTTTCTAAGTAGCATCTGAACAATTTCAATATGGGCCTCCGAACATGCACGGTATAGTGGAGTGCCGCCATTCCCGTCTCTCTCGTTGATGTCGCATCCTGCGTCTAGGAGCGGAATGACCGCACTAATCAGCCTTGCAGAGGATGCGAAGTGTAAAGCATAGTCTGGAGGTGCGTGCTCCACCCAACGTCGCCTTATAGTAGGAATGTTAAATAGAGCAGTACTATAAACAATTGTACTGGCAGACACTACAAATCTCATACGATCAAAATGCCGCTGAACGCTATCCGGTTCGAATCCGTCTCGTAAAATCTTAATCTGCAGGACAGCTCCAAGATGTTGGCTCGTCTGCTGGAGAAGTTTCTCCAACTGTTCCACGACATCCGGAGATATTTCGTGACATACGGATATATGGTAATCAAAGTTCTGACTTGCATAGCCAGCGAACATATTGGCCTCAAGGCGATCGGAAAGTTCCCAAGAGTATTGCGCTGGATTATCGAATGCGACTAGACGGATGTACCTAAGACACGTTAGGCTCAGGCGAGTGTGCATAGCGCTCGAGCTTAGAAGCTGAGCTCTGATGGTGGTCTGTGACAGCCCTTCAGATGCAGTGATAAAGAACTCCCGAACAGTGTAGTGAATGGGCCGGATTATGCCATTGGTTTCTTCTAGCAGATTGCCACAGGCGTCTAGTATCACGCTAGGAGAACGGGGTTGTAAGTCCTGTCGAGTTGTACAGTCTGAAGTTGTTGCAAGGGCATGTTGTAGTTCTCGGGTGGTGAGAGGTCTTCGCGCATAAATCATCCAAGCGAGGCAATTCAGCGCTAGTGCCTTCATATACGATGGCTGCTCCTCGATCCGCTCTAATATCCGAACGTACGTTTTTGGTAAACCTCCTGGTAGTCTTTCTAGCGCGCTCTCAACTTCTTGGTCCATTTGAGCCTTGCTAACGCGACAGAGATTGTCTAGTTGGAGATTAACCCAAAGAAACCTACTTTATATTAATCCGACAGGTAATCCGCAGTAATAGGGCTATAACTTACATACCGTCCGCTTTTCTAGCGAGCGTCTGAGCAATCCTCTCTTCGAGTTCATCACTCCCAATGCAAAGGGTCTTTCCATACTCCCCTCTCCGGAGCCTCTTGATTTCGCTGCGCGCAAAGACTTCTATGTCGGCTGCAATATTCTCAGCTAGAACTGGGATCGTAGGTATGCGTCTGTCTTCAAAGGCTTTGATAATGTCCATCTCCCTTCGACTCGTGACAAACACCTTGACACGACAGGGAACTGACACGGTCACTATACCAGTGATAAAGCTGATGATACCCTCCCGTTCTTCCTCTGGACATTCATCCAAAGCATCAAAGACGACATACACTTCGGATAGTTTTTCGATGAGTGAAACGAATCTATCCAATGTACCGACCGAAGAGGGAGAGCCCGCCTCATTCTTGATTTGGAGCAAGCTGTCGGGTATTCGATCTCTTCTTCTGCATAACTGCTTGATGAGAGCAGCTATAATCAGGCTGACATCTTTCAATTGTTGATCCTGATAGTTGTAGTAGGCGAAGCAGATCGTAGTATCCTCTTGCAGCCCCTTTTCAGCCGTGATATGTTCTAAGACACTTGACCTAGTTTGTGGATGAGGACGAGTCTCAGGGTGTTAGATACATAATTACTTACGCGAGTACAGATTTACCAATTCCAGCTGTATGTCGTCAGCACGGTCTCTATGGAGCACTAATTGCGTTGCTTACGTTTCCCATGGCACCATAGGAGAGATGGGCCAGGACTACTGAACCACCGCTGATATTCCGGCTCCTTGGTTAACCATCCGCAAGTCTGCTTGTGCTTCTTCGCGTATGTCTGCTGGTGGACTCTCTCAAAATCGATGCTCGAGACCCACGAGAGGAATGCCGACTTTTCCTCTTCTAGATAGAGACAATCAGATGTTGTATAGCGATGGGAAGTGTAGACCTACTGCTCTTTTCATCTAAGAAAGCGTTAAAATGCAGCGCCTGAACAGAGTGTAACAGAACATGAAGATGGCGTTGCAAGTCTTCGGCAATGGACACAAATTCGGACTCAAATGGCTCCCAGTGCTGATGTAAGAAAGCTCGGAAGGACGTCCATGCTCGTTGGTTCCCGTTTACATCGACAAAGACGCGACGTGCCTTCCAGCCAAAGTCCACTATGCTTGTGTAAGCCTTGCGCAACGGCTCTTCCACAAGTCCAATATCAGCCTTCTTCGCATACTCCGCTAGTGGTGCTAGGTAAGCTTCGAATGTACAGATCATGTCAGTCAATTTGCTGAAGAACATTGTGAACTTCAAGGCAAGGTCGATAACGATCCGGACCGAGCCAACTACAATAGCTGATATCTCAGGGCTTGCCTGGATGCCTATAGCGACGCCTCCCATGAAGCTATTGAGCAGGCCCAGAAACTTCGAAAGACGATCAGCGTGAGGTCTAAAGGATGAGTTGTCCTTGTGTGCCATATCGTATGCCCGCACTTCGGATAAGAGCGTTTGCTCATCGATGGTCTTGGACGCATGGTCGAATGCCGCCTTTTCAGTATCGGGGACTTTCTGCTCATATTCAGCTAATGCCTTCTCAAGTACTGGATTTTGTAAGGTTGTTGGTCCCGGTGCACGTCCGCTTGATGGAGGAGGAGGTGTTGGTTGCGTGGACGGTGTAGGACCTAGCGTAGGTGAAGCTGAACGAGTAACGTTAGCGTCTGATGCTAAGAACGCGCGTGCGCGATTCAGAATGCGGTCTCGTCGTCCCATGGTGCGGTAAATTCGCAGGATCGACGGGAGCGCCAGAGGCTTTACATCAGGGTACGCTAATAGAGCGGTGGGCTCCTTCTAAGTCGGTGTTGCGGTCTATCGTCAACTTCACAAGGCTGACAAGGCAGACAGCTGAGGCTTCGACACGGCGCCATGCAGCGTCTGGGGATCACGGATTTACATTTCGCCGACGCAAGCAATCTGAGATCTTGGAGTGTGGCATCCTTCCAGAACCTTCCACATATAGTCACGTGCGTGCTATTTTTGGCTGTCGATGCCCGCTCATAGTCGCGCAGATCGCCCACTCGTTCGTTGCCTGTCATTACCGTCATCACCACCGTTAGCATTGATCCGGCCAGTCAGGCACTGAAAAAGGGTCTACCTTCGGGCGTATCCGATCCATATGCTGTCCTATCAACGCAGAGCGAAGTTCCCCGCTCTACCCTCTATCGTGCCCATGGACGACCGTCGAAAGAGGAAAAGGCTCAACGGCAGCAATACCTCACCGCTTCAACCCATCGAAGCAACTGGACCACGTACAATACCCCGGGATGGCATTATGCATATTCTGAGAACGGATATAACGACTCCAGTATCAGCCTGGAGTGGCTCAGGCGCGTATTTGACGAGGAGACCAGAGATCTAGCGAAAGGGAAACCACGAATACTAATCTGCGACGGCTTCGGAACTCATCAGACGCTCGAGGTATTGGAGTCTTGCTTTGAAAACAACATCGTCTTGTGTCGTCTCCCCTCTCACACCTCCCACAAGCTCCAGCCCTGATCGGTATCCCAAAATCGTTTTGTCCAAATCTAATTTACCTGCCTGAGCTGTTTGTCTGTGCACGGCTTCAAATACGTTTTACCCCCTACTGCTAACGCGAAATAGATACACACTAGGTCCTAATCAGGGCTATACCACTTTGCTTTTTCTCCCACCCCTTTCGTTGCACTGTATCTCTATATAGTGCAAGTTCCTTTCTATTTCTTAGTAGTAGTCAGAACGTAGTAGAAGGGCTAACGTACCAAAGTCCTACTCTAGTAGTCTTATCTAGTACCCTTTTTCTAATGATTGTATAGTTATTGTTCTCTTCTCAAGCCTGAAAACGAACGTAGCCCAGCCTTGATTTTCTCTATCCAGCTCAATGGCCTCTTGCATTTCTTCCTATCCTAGCGATGCACAAGACGCAGAGTTCCTTCAGGATTGGACACACTATATCAAAGAGCCATATTGCTTCCTTACCTGCCGCGCCTGCAGAGTTGTCCTGCCCCTTCGTCGTGTGCCAAATCATTTTAGCAGCAGTCCCCACAGCTTCCGAAGAGCAGACTGCGTGCGGGTTACTAAGGCATGGCAAAAGATTTACTTACCGCTCTACCCCATCTCTTTACAGACAGAGGCTGATGTCCATGCATGGCGCCCACCTATGACTCTTTCGCCAGCCATCAAAGAACTGCCTGTCCTACGAGCCAACCACTGCCAATTCGTCCATCCGCTGACCGGAGAGCGCTGTAATAAGCTATTTGGGGCCAGTCGCATCAAAACTATACAGAACCATTGTTACCTAGAGCATGGTTGGAAAAACCCGAGAAAACGCGGAAGACCTTCGCTGCATGCGAAACAACTGGCCATCACACTGCCCTGGGAATCAGGCGTGCCTTGCCATCGCATTGTGTCCCATGGAGTTGGATCGTCCCTTTGGCGCATAGATCTATCTAAAGAAGATAAAGATAGGGAGGGAAGAAAGAAACCTACCTCCCAAGAAGAAGCCTGGGATAGCATCGAAGACTGCCTTGACAAACGCTCCGTGCACCGTGTAGCAGCGCTGGAAACATCCTCTCGCTACCCAGTACACCTAGACCCCTGGATTGAGAAAACGGGTTGGGCTAGATATCTAAAGGGTCACAGTCTATCTGCAGTCACAGAGCTACTAGCACCACCGCAATCACAGGAGACCGGACTTGTAGCCCTACTACAGGCGTTCGATGGCGTAATAG